TGCTTAGTTCTGCATGCTTCTGTGCTTAGTCCCTTCTGCTGAAACCTCGCGCTTCAGGAGCAAGTAAACGAGTCTGCCTCGAAAGTCTCATCTCCTACAGCTGCTTCTCCGTCTGCCAAACCCACAAATCCCGCAAATCTTGTGACAGATCTTGAAAATGTTTCACCTACATCCCTTCCTCCCTCTAACACGAAATTGAAGCCTAACACTGGCATTCCGAAGCCTTCAAAGTTACGCCCTCCCAGCACAAGGTACAAACCAGCCGACACTAACATTCACCAGGTACTGGCTGTTGCTATGCTGGTTGAAGTGTACAGAATAATTTTATGCTTTCAATGATGTTTAGGAAGAGCCTCGGATATCTCGAATACCAAAGATGTCAGATGGGTCCAGTCTACGAGCAACAAACAACGGGTTAAGGTCGGTTCCTGTACACTGCTATGTGTCTGTGGCGAGAATGAGATAATTTAAAAATTTTGCTTCTCTTATACGCCTTTTTTCTTAGGTCCACTCCGCGTTAACGAAATAGAACGAATGCAAATAATTCAGAATTTTCCCTAACTTATCAGGGTAAATGATTTCCAGTGTAAAGTTTGACAATATTGTCAAAGTTCAAGCTCTTCCCTCTCAGATCTGTTTGCGGAAAGACTGTTTTGATTCTCGACTAACATGACGGCTGTTCTTCTTCACTGATCAACAACGAAATATTAAGCTATATCACGTTGTGAAAAATAGCCTTATACCTTTCCCAACAACAATTTCTTCTAGAATTCCCATATATGTGTCGAAATAAGCACAAAGTTTGTTTGACATCCTTTAAATCTATGTTGCTAAGCAAAAGATGAAAAGTTGTAGCAATGAAACCACAAATAATTTCAAATCTAGACACTATATAAGACATTCTTTCTCATAAAGCAGGACAACTCGCCAAATGCATTTAAAAGAGCAAAACGAAAAATTCTACAAGCAGAAGAAAGTAAAAGTCTATCGATAAACCTTCCACAAAGTCAAAAAAAGCCGGGATTTTAGGTGT